TTAATTGAACATAATGGCTTAGGTCAATTTCTGGGTTCTCTGTTCTATTCCATTGGTCTATATGTCTGTTCTTGTGCCAGTACCAGGCAGTTTTGAGAACAGTGGCTTTGTAATATAAGTTGACTAGGGGCCCAGTGCATGAAGATTTGTGCACAGGGGAGAGGAAGGGGTCCCTCAGCCTGACCTGCACCCTTTACAATCTGGGAGTCCTCAGGGGAACCCTCTCCAATCCAGGAGTTTCTGTCTGTCTTTGCAATCATATGGGCGAATTGTCTGAGACCCCCAACCCAGTTTGGTTTGTTGCTCACAGAATAATAGAGGCATTTTTTTTCTTTGCTTCATTGGTGGAGATTTCCTGGAAGTTTTAGGTTATCTTCCCTTTAATTTTTCCTACACACTCTGATTTTACTTATGTCTCTTCTCCACCACAACAGTAACTTGCTCCAGGCTCACTTTGCTCTAGTGTCTAGGAGATCCGTTAGCCACCAGAACTATGATTCCCAGCATTCCTGGTGCTCCCTGCGCTCTGGGCTTCTGCTTCTGGTCCTGGGGCTGCCATCAGAACTACTATTCCCAGAATTCCTGGTGCTCCCCAGGCTGGGAGCAACCAAGGGAGCCATGGCCCTCCAAGCCTCCGGCTCTCCTGCTCGGCTCTCTGCCTGGTGACCGAGGGAGCCACATTCCCCCAAGGGAGTGACCGAGGGAGCGACCTTGGGAGCCACGTCTCCCCAAGCTGCCGGCTCTCCCGCTTCTGCTCTCCGCCTGCCGCCTGTGTATGCAGATCAACCCGCCATCTTTGTTGGGTTAATTTGCATATTCACTCCTGATTGGCTGGTGAGCATAGCGAAGGGGCGGTCAATTTACATGTTTCTCTTTTATTATATAGGAGGATAGGATAGGATAGGTGGTATTGTGATCCCTCCAACTTTGTTCTTCTTTCTCAAGATTGCTGCGACTATTCGGGGTCTATTTTTCATTCCATATGAATTTTTGGAGAGTTTGTTCCAGATCTGTGAAATATGCCATTGGTATTTTATTGGGGATTGTATTACTATTCGGGGTCTTTTTTTCATTCCATATGAATTTTTGGAGAGTTTGTTCCAGATCTGTGAAATATGCCATTGGTATTTTATTGGGGATTGTATTGAATCTATAGATTGCTTTGGGTAGTATGGACATTTTAATCATGTTGATTCTACCAATCCATGAACATGGTATATTCTTCCACTTGTTTATATCTTCCTCTATCTCTTTTTTCAACGTCCTGTAGTTTTCCAAGTACAGGTCTTTTATCTCCTTAATTAAGTTTATTCCTAGGTATCCTAATTTTTTTGTTGTAGTGATAAATGGGATAAAAGTTTCTCTTTCTGTGAGTTCATTATCGGTGTATATAATCTCTTCTTAAGAGAATAATATGAATATATTATATTCTTAACTTATTATAATTTCAGGAATCTATTTCCCTTATTGACTATAAATTCCTCTGTAGGCAGAGCTGTCTGATTTATATTCACTGTGGCACAAATAAAAAAGTGCTCTGTTGCCTACTCAGTGTTTACAACATTGTTTTTCAGCCCTATGCCAGATATTTTTATTTCAATGATCTGTAGTAGGTCCTTCATCAAGTGATTTTACTGGGTAGCCAGGGTCAACAACTCTGGTTTACAGCCTTACCTTGAAATTTTCCAGTGCCCACTGCCAAATGGGTCAGGGACCTTAATGAAACAGAATTGAGCAGCCTACCTGAGAAAAAGAGTTCAAAGTAATTGTCATAAAGATGCTCACCAAATTTGCAAGAAGAATTGAGAACATAAGTGCCAAACAGAAATTATAACTGAAATGAAAAATATACTAGAGGGATTCAATAGGAGACTGGATAAAAATTAAGCACAAATCAACAAGCTGAAAGACAAAGCAATGAAACACACTCAGACAGCAGTAAAATGAAAAGGAATTTTTAAAAGTAAAGACACTTTCAGCGACCTCTGGAACAACATCAAGCAGAATGACATTTGCTTTGTAAGGGTCCCAAAAGGAGAAGAGAGGGTCAGAAAAATTATTTGAAGAAATAATCCTAACTGGGAAAGAAAACATATCCAGGTCCAAGAAGCTTAGAGAATTCCAAATAAGATGAATCCAAAGAGAACCACACCAAGACATATTTTAATTAAAATTGCAAAAGTTAAGGAAAAAGAGAGAAACTTAAATTCAGACAGAGAAAAACAACTTATTATGTACAAGGGAATTCAGCAGAAATTTTACAAGCCAGATGGTTCTGATATATTCATAATATGATTCAAATTGTTTCATAATTATACATTACCTTGTTGGTAAATCTTAGTACCTTATACTTTTCCTTATTCTTTTTTCTCCTTGTGAATTCTTTTCTGCTTTCATAAATACTAGAAATTATTTTTAAATTTTTTTATATGTTCATCTGTCTATTTTAGACCAAAAATATTACTTACTCCAGCCTTAGCTGGTTTCGCTCAGTGGATAGAGCATTGGCCTGCGGACTGAAGGGTCCTGGGTTCGATTCCAGTTAGGGGCACGCACCTCGGTTGCAGGCTCAATCCCCATCCCTGGTTAGGCCAGAGTCTGGGTGTGTGCAGGAGTCAACTGATTGATGTGTCTCACATGAATGTTTTTCTCTCTGTCTCTCTTTCTCCTTTCCTCTCTCTCTAAAAAATCAATGGAAAAATATCCTCGGATGAGGATTAACAAAAAAATATAAAAATAGGCCTTCAAGTACAATGCCTATTAAATGCTGTTAGATGGTTAGAGTAGGTTTGTGAAATCTGCATATGAAGTAAGATATGGCCTCAATTGTATTCATCATGCAGATGCTGCTGAAGTGCATTTGCATATTACTAATCACCTTTTTAGGCATGTACTGTTAATAATATACCTTTTCAATTAAAAACTACTTGAAATTAGATCTATTGAAAAGTTGCACAATCATGTTATTAATTAATTTATTGTTTTGTGGAAATGTTATTTATGTTATTAATTTACTATTAACTTGCAATGTTGAAGTCAGTTGGTGAAACTCTTAATGCTTCCGTAAGTGACTTCTCTGAATTTATTCTCTAGACGGACCTACACTGCAGTAATCCATTTACTCCGGTGGAGAGGAGACGTCGAGAACATGCCAGGCACATTTCCTTTGGTGGTAACCTGATTACCTTTTCACCTCTAAGGGCCCTCAGTGGAGAACAACCAGAAGAACTTTGAATGTAAAAATAATTCCAAACATTTTTCTTGTCATTATCAATACTGTGGGGTATATTCTTAGAATACCAAAAGGTTGAAGACTATACTTTTGTTTGCTTCTATTCAACCGATTTATATGGTGTCATGTAATATTTTAATATTCAGTGTTCATTCAAGTGTGTTTTAGATATGATACTATTTCTCAAGGGAAGTGGGGATATTTTGTACAACAGCCATGCAGAATAAAAGATATACCATGCCTTGCCTCTCTTCTTTAAGATGTATAAGCTTAAAGCTAAGAACACTTACTCAGAGCTTATGACTACTCGCTTAAAATATAATACTAAACTTTGACAGAAATATTTGTATCTTTTCATACTTTATTTTTAGTTTGAACTTTAAATTTGTCAGTGTTGAACAGCTTTGCATGTTGATTTTCCAGGGCATACTGAGTTTGTTTGGATGAGCTTTCTGATGTCAGTTTACATGTTATAGTTTCAAATGGTTAACTAGGTGCCCATTAAATTCCTGCCTTTCCCATTTTCCCCTTGACATGAATGACAGGCTTTGAAGGAAATGCCTTATTCCTTTGAAGAAAATTACGTCAATCACTTAATGTGTTTGAAATGTTTTCTCTTTTATAAAAATCTTAGCTATAGATTTGTAGAAGGCAGGGCTGTCAGAATAACAGAGCACCAAGAAGATTCAGAGTAGCTAACGCTTGTACCAGACCCGGGCCCAGTCATTTCTGGGCCCAGTGAGTTGAACAATAAACAAGAACTTTATGGATAACCCCCCATAAGATTAGGGGTTTTCAAACAAGAAAACACATGTTGTTTTATTGTCAGAGGAAGGGGTATTAGGCTTGTGGGAAAGACAGTATTTATTAAATCCATGTGAGCAGTTGGGAGGCTGTGTAGGGTGCTGACTTAGAAGAATGTTCTCTAAATGCCTAAAGTTTTACCAAAAGATGAAAATAGCTTTTATTCATTAACAGCCTATAATTGAACAATTCAAGCAAGACAGGCAGAACAAAGTAGCATATATAAAAGTTAGGGCTTTCCAAGGGCTCAGGAATGAATATGTAAAAGATGTTGGTGCAAAGTAACCAAAGTTGTAGAATCTACGGTGGTAAGTTTAGTAAGGTGTACTAGTGAATCATTTAGAAAGCTTTTGCTGCTGTATAATAGTAAAATGAACTCAAACTGGCTTACCAATAAGGAATGTATTTCATAAGTTGTCAGGGTGATTCTAGGCACTTTACAATTAACAGTTCAATGTTGGCATCAAGAGCCAGCATTCTGTTGTCTTTGGCACCTGTCTGAGGCTGGGTCCTTTGGGATCATAATGTAGCTGCTAGTGGTAATCAGAGCTATGTCCTTCTCTGTGGTCTAGTCAGGCCAGCTAATGCCACATGTCTGTCTGCAGTAAGACTGAGTGAGTGGGGGATTGACTTAAACTAATGATTCCCTACTGAATCTGGGATCATACCTGAATAAAACCACAATTATCAGGACATCGGGAATGGATTTTTGTGTTGGCAGCCAACTAGATAGAGTGTTCTTGGGCTATTGGACTCCAGAATTATGAGGTATTAGGAAAATCCTTAAAGACTAAGTGAAAGAAAACTGCTTGGGTAGAACAAGACCCTTTCCAAAATCAAAAGGGAATTTTCATTTATTGAGGACCTACTATATAATAGCCCCTCTGCTACATATTTCTTTTACCATTGAGTCCATTATTCATTATCAAGAATAGACTGCCCCAAATAAATGACATATAAACCATTAACTCTTAGAATATTTATTAAATGAATGATTTATAAGAAGGACGTTGTTGAATAAAGGCAAATTTTTCACTTACAGTGAGCATGAAACTTTTAAATGGGTAAGGTTTACATTCATTTTTATTTCTTAAAAGAATATCCGCCCCTTTAAGATTATATCATAGTGTGTGTAACACTATTGAGACTGATGTCACCACTAACTGCCAATGCGTTGATTTCCCTGAGATTTTTCATCCGGTGATTGTACTGCAGCAAGTGAGCATCATTGACTGCAACCTTGAAGTGGTCGGATTCAACCAGTACTTGGATCTGAAATGGCACGTACATAAAACTGTTAGAAATGCCTGTTGATTTCAAAACCAGTCTGTCCTGAGCTCAGGGTGTCCACATTTCATCTTTTGTGGAACAGATGAAAATCCTGAAAAAGTAACTTTACAGCAAAAATAAACTCCAGACTAGTCAAAGATTTACACAAAATAAAAAGGACAAAATTTTTAGAAGATATATAGTTGAAGCCACAAAGGAATAAATACTGTCTACATAAATGATGTAGTTACATAAAATAATGTGTCTACATAAAAAGTTTTCATATGGCCTACAGCATCTAAAAGTAAAAATAAACACTAAAGTAGGGATCCCCTGATAGAGCAGCAAATGCTGTGAAGTTGGATAATAACCACTTTGGGCAAGAAGAGGGAAAACATAGTCTTCCAACAGTGGGTGTGTTTAATCCTTTTTGAAGTAGCACTTTGGCAATATCTGAGTTTTAAACATGTATATTTTAATAAAATTATTCTTCTAGAAAGCAAAGAAGAATAAGCAAAGTTAGTAACAGTGTTTTAGTAAAATAAAACCTTCCCAGATTTTATTGGTAATATTGCCAAAGTTTCATCAATAGAGTACTAGTTGGATTATTACATATCTAAACAATGAAACATATCTAAACAATGTTCTGATCCTGAAAGATGTCCATTAAATGTAGAATATGGTCCCTATTTGTCTCTGCCCTTAAGAAGCTTATAGTCTAGCTGTGTTATTGCCCACTCTACAGTCAATCCAACTAGTACTGTGAACCTACTAAATATTTGGTGAAGCAGTGCTTAAAAATCAAAAGTGCTGTATGTCATAGAAAATACTGGCAAGATATTCACTAAGTTGCAACCTTCAGTATATACAGGCTAGGGAACTTTTTCAGTTAATTTAAAAATCTACATTTTTATTTTCATAAGCATGTATTAATTTTAGAATTAAAAATTTTTGACTGTGTTGTACACCTGAAACTAATATAATATTAAATGTCACCTAATTTCTTTTTAAATTAATTTTTAATTTAAAAAATTTTTAGTTTTGGTTTCTATGTCACTATGTTTTTTAAGGGACTAAGTCTCAGTCCTTCTGAGACTTTCTGCCTTTTTTATTAAAGATGCTATTTTTCTCATTTCCAGAAAAGCTTAAGTTCAGAGGTGGTAACAGTATGGAGCTGGGGACCCTTTCCAAAATCCTAGTCCTGTTCCAGCCTACTGATGATCATGGGCGCCTGGGGTGGGGAGGAGCTGGTTAGGTGTCCCAGGATAGCTCCCCAAAATTCATTTCAAGTGCATCTTGATTTTAGAGTGATTTCCCCATGAGCCATATGAATTATCAATACATAACAATAGCAATAACTTACTTTGAATGGTTTACCACATTCAAATGGGAAAATCATCTGTCTTTCTTCCTGTCCCCAGTTATTATTCAGGTTTGAGTTGCAAACAATGACTCTCCTGTTGTTCTCATTGAAGCGTGGGTTAAAGTGGAAGGCCACATCATTCCCTCTCTTGAAATCTAAAACAAGTCTGTTCAAACCAAAGGCCAGAGTTAGTAAAATGATTCAAGTTGTGTATTTGCATCAAGTGAAGAACACGCGATTTTTCTAAAGAGCAAACCGTTTTATAAAATACAAGAAAATTTTCTTAACAGAAAACAAACCAGAGAATGTGTTCAAGCTGTATACTAGGCCAAATATTAGTAAAATACTAAAAGTAAACAGAACAGTACCTGTTGGATTGTTCTGCCTCACTGTCTTTGGTCATATCATTCTCTTCGTTTGTAATTCCCTACTTATCCTTCTACTCATGAAAACCCTTCAAGGTTTCCTTATAGAGGTTTGAGGCCACTTTAAGGGCAGGTTATGCTTTCCATTGCAGATGATATGGTTACCTTCTTCCTGCCCTGCCAGGTTGATTTTAATACCTATTGACGACAAGCCAGTCACGTAAATAAGAGATCAACTTCCTGGCTTCCTCCTAGTTAACCAAAAACCTAGTCCTAAAACGGAAAGAATGAGATTATGTAATTAAGGTCCTATTGCTAATTTGTAAAATCATGACAATGTGTTGAACTTTCCAAGATATGAAGTGGAATTGATGCAAGTGCTGGCTTAACTTTTTGACCCCGTTCCTTCTCCTTGGATGTTAACACAAACACAAGTCCCCTGACTGTTAAAGTACTAACCCTACCCCCCAATTTCTCAAAGTGTGCTCCACAGACCACTAACATCAGAATCTGCTGGTACTCTTGTTTTAAAGTAGAATCTGCACTCCTGACCCACTAATAATAATTCCCTGGGTATTTGGATTCACCCTGTAACAGACCCGACCACAGATGTATTCACAGGGAAAGGACCAAAAGAGTCAAATGGCAATAGAAATTGTATTTGACTAAATATCTAATGGCTAACGATATGGTCATCTCTACCACCTTAAGCATTCTCTTCTAATTCCTCACATAGAATGTGCAGGACCAAGCAACAATTATTTCAGTTTCCTATCACCTTGGCCATTTCAACCAAAATTAGTTTTGATCTACCACAGTCTCAGTCTACATCTCTGGTGTAATTGGAGTTTAAGTTTCCAGTACAATAACCCGAAATAAAGACAAAGATACCAGTGTGGTTCTGTGCAATAGGGGTTGGGAGAGGGGAGCAGAACTTAAAAATTGTGCCCTAGATGGTTTGGCTCAGTGGATAGAGCATCAGCCTTGCAGACTGAAGGGTCCCAGGTTCGATTCCAGTCAAGGGCACATGGCTGGGTTGCAGGCTCCATACCCCCGCTCCCCCAGCAGGGGGTGTGCAGGAGGCAGCAGATCAATGATTCTCTCTTATCACTGATGTTTCTATCTCTCCCTCTCACTTCCACTCTGAAATCAATAAAGATATATATTTTTAAAAATTAACAAATTGTGAGTGCTGTATGCACAGAATACGGTGTACTTATTGGGAGGAAAGATGGCTAAGAACATAGGCAGAAGATATATATGTTTTGTAATTTGCTGTGAGATAAGCTTTAGAGTAGAATCCAGAGGAGGCTGGCTAGAGGTTGGAGTGAATGGGCTATTTGAATGTAAAATGAACAGAGCAGAAGCCAGTCCATCTCCTGGTAACAGAGGAGGTGGTTCCTGTTGATTCACCAGGAGCAAAGTGACAGATGCTCATAGAGGCTGTCTGGATCCTCGAATAAACCTGTGTACACAGCTTGAGTATCTTTTGTATACTACTTATAAGACCCAGAGACACATTAATTAATGGCTACAGGAGCTTTAGTGGTACCACTAACCTCAGCGACAGGCAGACTGGAGGGCTTCAGGATAGATATCCTTAGCCTGTTTGTATTATATGTAAGCATAACCAGTGGTAATAACCAGAGCCAGGCGTCCCAGGGCAGCCACAAGTCAGCATGGATTTCTCTAAAGCAGCTTAAAGTCTTACCCCTCCTAGCTCACCTCAATCAAACCAGTTCCAATGGCAAAGGTTGACTTATTTGAAAGCTTTTTTTGTTTGTTTGTTTTTGTTTGTTTGTTTTGTTTTTTGTTTTAATATATTTTATTGATTTTTTACAGAGAGGAAGGGAGAGAGATAGCTGCCTCCTGCACGCCCCCCACTAGGGATGTGCCCGCAACCAAGGTACATGCCCTTGACCGAAATCGAACCTGGGACCCTTCAGTCCGCAGGCCGACGCTCTATCCACTGAGCCAAACCGGTTCTGGCAAGGTTGACTTATTTGGATGAAGTCTTTAACTTGAACAATTTTTTCAAACCTTTCAAGTAAATAGTGACTACTCAGAAGACTGAGCTTCCCCACCCTGCCCCTTGTCATCTGTAGACCAGGCCAACACCATGGGAATCTGTGACCCTGCAGTTGCACCCCCTGTGAAGACGGGCATGGCAGCCAAGCTCGAGAGCTGAGACGGCACGGTGACCTGTGAGTCTTGCATGAGCATGAGGACGCAGTGGGATACCATTCAAGCTCTCGGATCAACTCATCACAATGTCAAGTGGGACCTCTCACTTTGGCACCCTAATTTTTTATGGTTATCTAGAGTGCATGCTTGGCTTTTCAGACACTATATGGTTCAGAGTGGAGGGATGGCCAAACATGACATTACAGAGACTCTACTGGCCTTTAATGCTAAAGCTTTCCCTGCCAGGAAGAACCCTGCTCTTCCTCTTTCTCCTCACAATGTAGAACTCAGTTCTATTCAGGTTCTGAGAGAAAACCAAGATTTGGTGAGGGAAACCATGTCCCCTTGGTGGGAACACGTATTGATTTATGGGATCATCCCATACTATGGAAGAGCCAAGACTCTAAATGTGTAGTTTTAAAAAGTCTATTAAATTTCAATATAGATCAGTCTTTATTCAAAAACCAATCAACAAATGTGTTAGACGTTTAAAGTTTGCTCTTACTTTTTTGCATCGGGTTTTATTGTACCCATAATTGTTATCAGCATGCGAGGCATGACTCCTCCAGGGAAAGCCATTTCATGAGGCACAGTCTGGGGATGAAAAACATGTGTATTAATACAGAGTCATGTTTTCTTGGGGAAAGAAAGAAAAAGATGTTGCTAACATTCAAATACTATTAATACATGTGACTAACACAACCTTAAGTTAAGCCATCTGTCCAGACTCGGGCCACCTTGCCCAGGGCCTGAAGAGATAAATCCCCTGTGTGCACAATATGTTTTACTCACAGCATCGGCAGAGTACTTAGTGTGTGGCAGATACTCCGTATTTGTGGAATAAACATCTTCCAGTTAATACATTTCCTAGTCCATTCTGCAAATATTTATGTTCAAGGTACTGTAAATATTCCCAAAGCCCCATCATTGGCCTCTTCTTTTTCCTCTTTATAATTCCCCCCAACCCCAGGTCCAACTATCATCCAAGTCTTTTATCTCTAGCCCTGATCAGTACTAGTCCCATACTTCCTCCTGGTGCTGCAGATTCAAAAGGTACGAACTGGAACCGTCTCTCCTGCCTCCTTCCCCACCAGTCCCCTTCCTGGTGCCCTAGCTGTCCTGTCTTGAAAAGCCAGTCCTGTCTAACTCCTAAGACTTAACCAGCAGATCCTGAGGTTCTTCCTCTGTAGTCTCTCTCCCACCTGCCTCTTCCTTTGTATAGACTCCTTGTGCCCCTGTATCTGCAGTGGACTAACCATTTGGGTCTAGACCCTGCCCAATGCCACCCACACCCCCAACGTTTTCTCTGCACTTTCCTCTAAACTGACCTAAAAGCAGATCAGATGCCACCTGTGCCACCTTCTACCTACTCCTGAGAGGGTCTGCCCCCAGGCTGTTACTGAACTCTTTCTTCATATCTGCTTACTTCCCAGCTGGACTGTAACTCTAGAAGGGAAGGATCTGTGTCTGAGATGTGTCTAAAGCCCTACAGAATTAAGGTTTTGTGCGTAGAATTTCTTTACTAAAATGCATTTTAATATAAATGAAAATTCAATCCTTAGATCACAAAATTATCTTTAGAAGGTTTTTCAAAACTTGATTACCTTGGTTCCCCGCCTCCCCCATGTTCTCTCTATGGTCCTGGACAAGCTAATATAATGCTATTGTCCCATTTCTTCATGTGGAAAGTGAGGATAATAACAGTATCTTATCGGGTGGTTATGGGTTCAGATGAGATCATCATGTAGAAGCACACTGCTGGACATGCTGTTTACATAGTGTTATTAATACTAACAATGAAAACTTTCCCCCATTACTATGCTCTTAACTTGATTTTTATTAAAGCTGCTTTACAGATGCCTTCAAAAGACGCATTAGCGTCTCTTTATGCCAACACTGCTCATACTAAACTCAACACAAATAACGATTTTTTTCTATTGGACCAGCATACACTGTGGCTGGTCCTAGAATATGGCCCTAAGCAGTGAGAGTAAAGCTTCGCGTCTCCCTGCAGCGCTATGCAGATGTGAGTGCCCAGAACCAGCTCCCAGCCAGATCACTGCAAAGTGATGGCACCACAGCCCAGACGATTGCCGTGTTCTTCATTAGCTTTGCCCTGGTCACAATCAAGTACATGAAATGACTGACTCCATCTTACCAGTGGTCCAGCAGGGACACCAGCAGGGCCCGCACCAGGGTAGGCCGCAGGCCCACTCGGTTGTCCGGGGATGGGTCCTGGGGCATTAGGTCCGGGATAAGCAGGTGCTGTAGGGGAAGGGTAGGCGCCAGGAGGTGCCTGTCCAGGGTAGGCGGCAGGAGGTGCCTGTCCGGGGTAGGTCCCAGGATAGGCAGCCCCCGGGTAGCCTCCTGCCCCAGCAGGCGGGTTTCCCCATGGACCGGGCCATCCTTGAGGGTTGGGGTTCCCAGACCCACATACGGCATCATTAAGCTGGAAAAAAAAAGATACAATTCCTGAATGAAAAACATTCACAAAAACAGAATTTTCAGGAAAACAGGAATAAGAGATCTAAAGTGGAGGGACATATGAAGATATACAACTCATATCCATAAAAATGTTTCCACCTATTAAATAGTTTTGAGTTCCAAAGGCTAAAATTAGACTTTGGGATTATGTGCACTTTATCAGTATATGTCACCCATCGTCTATATTGTGTAGGTTTGCATTTTTGTAATTTGCTAAAATAGAGCTATCCATCCTCAATGTAAAAGCATGTATTTTCTAACTGACATGAGAAAAATAATCACAAAAATCAGGATGCTCAGACTGTACCACACTTCCCATTGTTGGCTTATTTCTTAGCTCCTGGCCCACAGAATCCACCCACTTCTGCCCCAGACCTTTCGGTAAAGGGGCTGCTCTTAGTGAGTCCCACGCCTCTCTCTAGCCGGCTTTCTTCCCAAATCTACTACTGGAAAAACACGGCTCCGGCCAACAAGCCCACATGGGACAGGTGAGGCCAGAGGAAGGCACAAAGAGTTAGAAGGGAAAGTCTGGTGTTGAAAACAAAACTCTCCACCTCCATGGGATTAGAAAGTAAGACAGCAGACATAAAACACTTACCGAAAAGCCGTCTGCCATTTTCCTGAGAGGAGGAAAAAAAAGAAGAAGAAGATAGGTTATGATTTGACCTGAAAAGATTTCATGAGTTACCATTAAAATCTAAGATCACAAATAGTTTGTTGTGCAGTTCTAGTCAATTTACAGGCATTTTTCTAGCACAAGGCAATCTACTTCCAAAATCCGTCTAAATCAATAGCATGGAACCACAAAGGTGTCTCATCCAAGGGTGGAGATGCACTCCAACTGGATTACCAAATCCTCTTTAACCGAGCTTTCAGCTCCAATCACACTAGCGGGTGTTCTGAATCCTGGGAGTGCCAGCCACACAATGCAGGAGAGAGAGGATTGAGGGCGAACACGTTCTGCCCCTTTCCTAGGGGACGAATGCGCACAGCCCTGCTTTACCTTTGGTCCTCAATCACCGTCCTTCCTGTGCTCCTGCCCCACCACCTCTTACAAAGGGTCTGCATGTTAATATCAACCTCCCCCCACGCCCTGGTTCTCACGGACAGCCCCTTGCCCTCTTCAGGGTTTTAGGAGGAAAGCAGAGTTGGTTGATCCTTAGGATCTGAAAGACATGCCCCTCAGATGGAGTTCTGCAGATTATGTATTCCTTCGTTTGCACACATTTGTGCCTGCTCTGCACGGGCACGGTGAAGGCTCCTGTCTGGGTGTGAAGATGAATAAGCCAAGGCCTGTGTGGTCAAAGGCTCCACAGGCCGGAGGGATCACAAACAACCATGCCATGAGCCAGACTGTGAGCTGCGGGAAGTCACAACCAGAACAGTTGCTTCTAAGAGGGAGGTGTTGTTTGAGCTAAGCCTCGGATGTGGAACAATGGAGAAGACAGGCAGGCACAAATGCTTGCTATTTTGAAAAAGTACTTGTTGTTCCAAGTGAAATATTTGGCATTAAAACAGACTAAAGTTAAAAAAAAAAAAAAAAAAAAAAGGTTGGGCAATGTGGAGGAAAATATTTTGGGTTTGCCTTGCCCAAAGCTGCCTCAAGGGATGGCCTTGCTTGACACACCATTCCTGCTTTCTCCTGCTCCTCCCTGTAACTGCCAGAGTGTTTGATACCTGCTCCCACCGCAGACACTCCAGCACTGAGGGGAGGAGGGCGGCGTCTGAATCCTGAGGCCTGGGTGTGAGTTTTCTCAACTCAGGATCACCTATGCTTTGGTCAAAATTGCCTGGACCTTAAACAGTCAGAATCTCTGTTTTCCTTGAGTTGCTCACTCATGATATTTACTCAATTATTTTCTTTTTAAAAAAATATATTTTTTAATTGATTTCAGAGAGGAAGAGAGAGGGAGAGATAGAAACATCAATGATGAGAGAAAATCATTGACTGGCTGCCTCCTGCACGCCCCACACTGGGGATCGAGTCTGCCACCCAAGCATGTGCTCTGACCTCCTGGTTCATAGGTCGACGCTCAGCCACTAAGCCACGCCAGCCGGGCTCAATCGTTTTTAAAAATGACAAGGGATCCAACAAATGGTAGCTATTTGATAGGCCCTAAAAATGTAAAATATTAGATTTTTTTGGTAAAAACTCAGACAGAGCTCCTCCAGGACTCCATGTGTGCTTCCTCTATACACACGATATTATTCTTTTGCCACCTCTCTTATAATCTGGGCATTCTCAAACGTATTTGGAAGTAGGTTATCACCGTGTCCACCTTCCAAGCTGGGAAACTGCTGACTCTCCATTCACTGTGCTTCCTATAGTAATTGACCTTTGGAAGCAAAAGGCGGGTGCTCTTCTGCCTGCGCTTCCTTCCCCAAAAGGCTGCCACTGCCAAGGAAACCGCTGCTACCACAGGGGGAACTCGAGAGAGGAGTTGTTACGGAAAAGGAGGAGAAAGGACCTTACTTACTAGGAAGTCAAGAAACTAAAGCCTCTGCTAGTGTCATTTTGGACACCAGTAGAAAACAGTCTTGAACTTCATGGTGGACAGAGAGCTTAGATCCTTTTATTGCATAAACTTCCACTCCTGGGCAACATACCAAAGACCCAGAAATAACTTTATAAGTGTCTTCACTTCTTTTAAATATCCCCCTTGTGTAGGGCTAATTCCTAACCTCGGCACCACTGACATTTCAGGTTGGATGCTTGTTATTGTTGTTTGGGGAGGGGGGGGGTGTCCTGTACATTGTAGGATGTTTAGCAGCATCCCTGGCTTTAATGCACAGTCAGTAGCACCCCCACCACCACCACCAATTGTGACAACAAAAAATGTCTTCAGACATTGCCACATATCACTGGGGAAAGTGGGGAAAAGGCAAAATCTGTCTGGTTGAGAACTACTGGTCTAGACTGATTCGCATGTGGTTCCCTACATATATGTACACACATAGGTCAATAAGAAACAAGGGTCGTTTCAATGATTAAAACCAGCCAAATCTGTGCCATTGGCCTGATAAAGTGGCTTATTATCATAACTCCAATCAAACTTAGATGTGTTTAAAGGCAACCAGAAATTCACATGAAAATGGCATTTCCAAGATTTAACATTTATTCTTTATAAAGTCTCTGCTCAAGCATATTCAGTTCATTTTTCAACATGACCAAAACAATCTGAGGAACAAAGCCGACTTCCCTTCACTTCCACTGTGTTTCACATACGCCCGGGATGGCAGCTTGGATTGTGTTGTGACACATTAGGCGAGCTCATCAGAATAATTGCAGCCTGGTTTGTGTGGCGCTTTGCAGTTTACAAAGCACTTTCACATACCTTACCTATTTTGAGTCTGATAATAATCTTATGAAATTGACAGGGAAAAGTAAATATTCACACTTTTAGAGGTGAGGTAACTGAGGCTCAGAGAGCTGACATGGTGGCCCAAAGTCATTCTGTCATTAGCAGCCCAAGGAACCTGACCCCTAATTCAGGCTCATTTTACACTAATATTAAACCTCACACTTTGAAATTTGAAAGTGTTAATTACTTCATTAGAAATGGTGTAGCTTCTTCATTCAGAGCTACATAACATGCTGAAGTTGTAAACAAATTTAAAAAGAGATCATACTTTTGATCATGGGTGACTCAGTGTGCAATGATATTGAACACAAGAATGCCGTTGTGCACAGTCACTGGGCTGATTATAAACACATTTAAACCAACAACGTGTACTTTTCCAAAAATTGGGTGTGTGCTATTTTGATTTTGTCAACTCATAACCATCAGATCTCTTTTTTTGAAAAGGGTTATAACCAATGATCCTTTTTTGTTGTTAATCCTCCCCTGAGGATATTTTTTCCATTGATTTTGAGAGAGGGAGAGAGAGAGAGAGAGAGAGAGAGAGAGAGAGAAAGGGAAGAGGAGAGAGACACATTAACTGGTTGCCTCCTGCACCAACGGGCCCAGGGATCCAGCCTGCAACTGAAGTGTGTATTCTTCACTGGAATTGAACCTGCTACCATTCAGCTTGTGGGCCAATGCTCTATCCACTGAGCCAAATCGGCCAGGGCAACCAATGTTCTTTTGAAATCAAGGTCAGCAACCTTAGAACTTAAAATAGATAGATAGATAGATAGATAGATAGATAGATAGATAGATAAACATCTATTTAGATAAATACCTTCCTTACTTGCCTGGAAAATTTATTTCTTTTTCTTAGATGAGTAGTTTTTATCGAGAGAGACAATCAAATGTAAGAAAACTCTCCCCATGCAACTGAATCTATAATATGTGAACTCCATTCTGGCATTTCCAGAATCAGAATTTTGAAGAGTCAGAAAAGAAAGACTCCATTAAAGACAAACAAAAAAGGACGGGAAATACTGCTGGAATCTTCACATTTGGAAAATCCTGCAGGAAGTGCTTCAGTTTGGTTTGGAATAAGGAATTTAAACATGAGTCCGAAGGTTGACCGTCTGTTAATTGTAGCTTTTCTCTTTAATAAACAGCAGTGCCCACACTACTATGTTATTCTAGGCTCACCTAGCAATTAATCCAGTTGCTCGGGCTCCCAGGAGCTCTTCTGAAAGTTCTGCTCACAGAGGGCCCTGACTTTTACACAAGCCGTAAGGGAAGTTGATTGTGAGTGTATTTCCTCAGAACCCCAAGGCACTTCTCTCCACAGAACACAGGCCGGGCGTCTACTTCCTGTCCTCGCTTAAACACCGGGCAGGACTGGAGGAAAGTCCACTTTCCAAAAGCCAAAGTCGGTGAGAATGTGTTGGAATAAAGGAAACGGGTCCTTCACTAGGGTTTCTTTCTCATCATACTTCCTCAGCATCAAGAAAGGTAAAGTTACTTTGTGCCTCTCAGTTACTGATTTTTCCCCCCATGGAAAAGCTGATCATCAGTCAAGATAGAACACATGATACTTAGTCAGCAGCAAATTGTAAGCCTGCAGCAAGCACTATCTGGCAGGCTACCCACTCAGGATTTAATGAGCAGAACCAGTTTAGGCACCAGACACCATGTTACCTAGCTGTCCCCAGCAGGAGCCTGTGTTCCAAAGGAGAGGCTATCTTCTAGATCAGTTACCATGGTCTCAGAACATCCAAGGACTGTCATCAAATGTGCTGATTCTAAGTGTAACCCCCCAACATAACGAGTTTAGGAAGCAGCTCCAATCTCCCAAAGATCAAGCATGAGGCACAACCATAAAGAAAGGAGAAACCCTAAGGATTCAAAGTCAATGTCTTTTCCACAATGACCATTGTGGAAAAATACATTTTTATTATTAAATTTTAACTTTTATGGAAACAGAATTCCCTAGTATGAAAGATGAATGTTATGAACTTGAGACAAGTGAGTCAGAATTTTGGAAGTTAGTGAAATTTTTTTCTCATGTTCTGTGCCCAAGTTGTCAATTTTTATTGCTATCATTTATTTATTGTTGTTATTACTATTGTCAGAATTAACTGAGCCTGCCTTCTATTTCTTTCCCAGAATACTAGAAACAGACTAGGTCACGGAGGACCAACTGTCCCCATTGTCCAGCAACCCAACTCCCAGGAGTCACTTTACAAATATTCCACAGTATCTGGAACGGGAATCACTAGCTTTAAGGGCTAGCCTGCAACCTGTCACAGCCTCAACCTATGTGTCCTCGATTCCCTGGTATTGAGCTCCTAATCCTCAGAATTGATGCATTTTAGTGTTTTTATTTGCATAACTGATCATTCAGAATAAATCCTCAAACGTGTTTTTAACACACACACACACACACACACACACACACACACGCAACTTCAACTAGAGCTCTGCACACTCAGACCAACATTTTGCCACACCCTACACATCCTCAAGCACAGATCTGCGATCGTTAATGCTCAAATGAGGGATTTGCAAAAGCTTAGGGGTTTCGGTCTTTGCCCAGCCAGCCGGTCACCTGCCCCTGCCGGCCGTGGGGCAGCACCTTTTCCTGTGGGATCAGCATTCAGAGGGCAGCTGTACCCCTGACGCTGCTGGGCTTGGTAGACAGCTCACAGCAAGATCAAGTGGCGGGGCAGCCAAGTCATGGGTGCCTGGTGCCGCCCTAGAGACCCCGGGCAGGGCCGAGCTTGAGCGCGCCCTCCCAGCACCGATTCCGAGGTGGTCCCGCG